TCGGTCCCGAATTGCGTGAGATAATACGATCTAACGATTTTTTTTTTTTTGCTGCATTATTTATGATCGCCAGTGTATATGGGTATCTGGGTGCAACTAATTACACACGGGTTATATCCAAACCACGTGGCCGAAGACCACGTGACTTGAATATAAACCAGTGTGTAATTAGTTACACCCAGATATCCATACAATAACTATAACTTATCTTATCAGAGGGCGGACCTTTAAGATAAGATAACTCAATTGATTTAATTAATTGATCAATGATTGAAGTCCTTTAATAGTCAACTAAAGATATTTGCGGTTAGATTATGCATAATCGTTCATTCATGACGTAATTTTCAACTGAAAATGAGTGCCGCCAAGAGAAAACCCGCAAATCTCATCTAATAAGATTTACTGGTTTTCTCTTGGCGGCACTCAAATTCATAACGGCTAATTTAAGAAATTGGGCCTTATATTTGGTCCCCAAAAATGCAAATAGTAATATGTTGATTGGACATAAATAAAAATTTACAACTACCCCAGGATCGCCAACAAAATTTCTATAATTACTATGTAATTTTTACCATCACGTGATGATCGACGAAAATAAGCCAATAATGAATCTCGATTTGGTGTAACGTCACGCGATCAAAACAAACGTTCGTTTTGTCAAAAATCGCCTGTATCTCAAAATCTGCATAGGAAACCACCTTCTACGCATTAATAAGAGCGATTTTACTGTTAGAACCCTTAACTCTAACACTAAAATAGGCCCTAACCCTAACATAAACGAACTTAAAAAATTTTGTTGGACATCACGTGATGGTAAAAATTTTGTTGGCGATACTGGGGAAGATAAAATTTACCCCAAATCACATGTCCAATTTATTGACTCTCCTAGAAAGTATAATAAAACATACGTCTAACCAATGGGCCTACCTCAAAACCAATGGGTTTTTTAGGAAGAATAGAAATTAGCAAAAAGTTAAAGGAATCGATTTTAAATTATAAACACTTTGTTTAATTTTTAAAATTTTAAGTTTATAAGCAGTTTTACAAAGGTTAACTTTTATTTAATATATTTAGGTTTTATAACATATATTTTGGTTAGACTTCGTAATGCAAACTTTAAATCGGGTTTTTACTTAGATTTCGACACATATTTAGCTTAGGTTTTATGGCGAGTATAAAAAGTTTCAAATTATTTGGTTTTTTTTTTATTTTAATGTAATTTGAGATTAATTCAAATTAACTTGAATAAGATATATACTGTATTTAGGTCTACGATCTATTCGTGTTAATCTGAAATATTTAGAATAAGCTATTCACGTTAATATTTATTTACATTACAGTATTAATTTTGTAAGTATTTATTAATCAAAGTATCAGTATTCAAATTACTGTTGAGTAATACCTTTAATTAATTTTATTTTATATTAATATGATAGGCGTAACTGGGAGGTAAAGATAGTTTATTACAATCGTCTTCTCAACTGGCATTTGTTACGCATTATGAATTCAATTTTTTATTTATTGGAATTATAATCTATGCAAATCTATACGCCGCAAAACGAGTCTCTTTTATACACTAAAAACAGTGTTGTGAAGGTTCTATGTCCAATTGTTTTCAAAATTATTGAACATATACCCAATAATTTTGAAAACAATTGGACATAATAAGCCTCACAACACTGCTTAAAAATAGCCTCTATCCTCAATGATCCCATATTTAGCTGATATAAAAAAAATTTAAAAGACTCATATTACCTGAAATGATTAATTAATAAAATACTAAATTTCCATATAAGTCAAACACAATAAACTTGATTATCTCAAAATCATTTTTTGGTCTCTTTCTACTATAAGGTCCCGCACTGTTTTTTTTAACTATATCTTTTTATTTAGCTAATAATCATAATGAACTGATTTTCATTGATATTTTATTAATAATTTTAGTGGCTATGTTAGTAGAATTAAGTGTAATGAATAGATATAAATAGGTTTTTTTTGAAGTAAAATCAAATGTAGTCTACTTAAAGTTAATAAATGCTAACAAACCAAATTTTATTAGGATCGAGTATATATGCTTTTAATTATGCATTATACAGCATGTTGTTGATTAGCATTTAGACAGTATTCATATAGATCAATGCAAAAAAAAAATAGATTAGAGTAAAATTAAAAACTAACACTATCTGAAAGAACTCTTTGTACTTGTGCAGTGATTCAATTTTTGCTTTGGTCACATAATATATGTTGAGGATTTCTAGAAAAAATTTTTCACTCTACTAACCTAACCAGGATATGAGAACTGATTACATAAATTTGTATGGCTATAACGGTGATATGGCAGTATATCCCAAACCTATATAAGTTGCGCTCATCAAGTCCGTCCACGCCTAGTATGTATCAATTCACTAAACCAAAAAAAAACAAAAAAAAAACATGTTAGTTTCAAACAAAAATCAAAGTCACATTGGCCACTGCCTACTACCACATAAAGTACACTATTCCACCAATGAGATCGCTGGATTCGTGACTAGTACCCAGTACTATTCAATTTTAAAAATGAAGTTCTTAAATAAGACCCAGGGTACTGTAGGCAGTAGCCAACGGTAAAAGAAAAAAAACCTGGTACTTATCATTTGACCATCCTGTCTGAGCCGCTATTATAATGTAGAAGTTCTCAATGGATCCCGAACAATTTCACCACTATTCCAAGTTCAGAGCTTCCAATTCTACTTACGAAAAGTAGCAAGAGTAAAAGAAAATAAATAAATAAAAAAAAGAATCACTAGTGATACTTATACTAACGTATAACGTGTCCAGCCTCAATTTTAATGATTTCAAGTTCAGAGCCAATTCTACTTGTGAAGATGGAAAGAATCACCATCAGTACTTACTCGAACGTATCCAGCCATGGTTTCAACGATTCCAAGTTCAAGCAATTCTATTTACAAAAAAGGGTGAAGAAAAATAAATTAATCAATGATAAACCAAAAAAAAAAAGAATCACCACCAATACTTACCCGAACGTCAATTTCAACAATTCCAAGTCTAGCTAAAGTTTCATCATACTCAATATTAAAATGAGGTCTTTCTGTAGACATCTCAGTCATAATAATACGCCGTAAATACCATCTTATAGATCAGAATCATCATTTTTTCTAGATAATCCTGGATCAGCAATATAAGATCTTAGATCACCACTAGTATATTGAATTTGCAATATATTACCACGTTGCAGAAAATACAGAACCAAATCTTCCTTTACCAGTTATTTGAATATTTTTTAATCTATTAAAAGAAATCCATTCGCTTACATCGTATTTCGTAACCTTAAGTTGAAATTCCTTAATGCAATCATTGATATATTAGAGTTGACAATATCGAGTTCAAATTTATTATATTTAGTTAGACATT